TCATGCAATTCAGTTTCATAACTAACGGAGATGTAAAAGCGATCGAACATTTCTAAACAAAGTTATCGTTCACACGGACAGATAGATGGACAGACAGACAAAGGAACAGACGGACAGACCAACAGGCAGACGACAGATAGCAATGCAAAATTATAAACGATCTCTAGGATCGTTAATAAACGGCAAAAGTGTAAAATTATGGAACATGTAAAAAACGGTTTTTTGTTTTTTTTACAATAACTTTTTTTGTAAGCGGTACAGAAAAAATTCCTTCCTTGGTACAAGACTCGACACCATAACGAACCAAATAGCGAAAAAAGTAGAACAATAGCTCTTAAGATAAAAAACTAGTAGCGTCGCAAAGTTACGGACGGACGGACGGACGGACGGACAAAGTGGCCACAATAGCGCATTTTTTTTTATTTTTGTGGAAATGCGCTAAAAAGTTGGCACTGTGCATGCGCAAAAACAAATTTTGAAACTGGCATTTGATTTTCCTTTATTCCAAGCGCCTATGTATCAAATTTCATTTAAATTCTTCCATAAATAAAAAAGTTGGCACTGCGCATGCGCAAAACCAAATTTTGAAACTGGCGTTAGATTTTCCTTTATTCCAAGTGCCTATGTATCAAATTTCATTGAAATACTTTTATAAGAAAAAAAGTTTGCAATTCGGTTTATAAATGGTCGAGATGCGAAAAGGGCACTGTGAATTTTGAATCGATTCGACTCAACTTTTGGCATTGCGTATTATATGGCTAAGGCATGCCCATATTGAATTTCATGCAATTCAGTTCATAACTAACGGAGATGTAAAAGCGATCGGACATTTCTAAACAAAATTATCGTTCACACGGACAGATAGAGGGACAGGCAGGCACAGGAACAGACGGATAGACCAACAGACAGACGACAGACAACAATACAAAATTATAAATGATCTCTAGGATGGTTAATAAACGGCAAAAGTGTAAAATTATGGAACATGTAAAAAACGGTTTGTTGGTTTTTTTACAATAACTTTTTTTGCAATAAACGCAGAAAAAATTCCTTCCTTGGTGCAAGCCTCGACACCATAACGAACCAAATAGCGAAAAAAGTAGAGCAATAGCTCTTAAGATAAAGAACTAGTAGCGTCGCAAAAGTAGCGGACGGACGGACGGACGGACAAAGTGACCACAATAGCGCTTTTTTTTTATTTTTGTGAAATGCGCTAAAAAGGAATGCTGCGAATTAATTAGCAGCGTAGAATTAGGAATGGAAAAAATCGTCAAAAACTACAACACCAAACCAGGGGGATGCTAGCAGATTTGAACCAAGAAGAAATTGGAATATTGAGTGTAGATAGATATTCGAAAAAAAAATAAATTTAAAAATCCAAGAAGTAAACAAACGGAATCTTTGGAGAAACTCCAAGAGAAAATCAGGGACCACTGATATTGGAAATCTCAAGGCAAAATTCGAAGAAAACCCAGCTTTGTGAGAGAGATCTGCCACCACAATAATTTACAAGGCTAAGGCTTTATAACAGAAGCGGATCTTCATAATCAAAGAAGATTTTCTGCGACAATATTGGTCTGAAGATATTCAAGATAAGATACGAATCCGGCTAGCTATACCCCAAAACGCCAATTGTACGGACCGTTGTGTTGTCAATATACAGATCATGTTTGGACATTTCCCTGATTTTAATTGGAACAGGAGCCAAGACTATTGAACAGTCAATTTCAATCTTGGAGCGCATTCATGTTTCAAATTTTGAACCAAGAACGAGATCCAAGACGGCAAGAAGATTAGTGAATGCAGTGGTGAGATGCAGGAGAGGGAGCATACGAATACGCTACCACAACGATCAATCAGAAGACGAATTTAAGATACTTATGAAGAGAAAAAATTGACAAAAAGTTGCATGTTTCAATAAAGAACCAATTGAAGAAGAGTAATGTATGGGAATGAGAAGAAAGATTCGAAATTGCAAAAAGAGGACCCTCAAAATTCAAGTATGATTTTTGTTATCGGCTTGTGTGATGGGCCTGATGTGTTTGTTTTATGTGGGGGTATCATATATTTGTTAAATTTGTGCTAACACAACTAGACAGGTTTGTTACTTGACGATTATGTGCCATGGATTTGACTTAATTTTTGGCGGGAGTTTTGATTTTTGGTTTTTAGTTGTGCGGTCGCTTCTCGACTGCATCCTGGATTATTACAGTAGAAGTTTGAAGTTATCAAGTTGTGTGTAAAAAAAAACGATATTCCGTACTTTTCCATTGTGCATCTAATTTTTTTAGCGCATTTTCTAACTCATGTTGGAAGGCGCTATACTGGCCTTTTTCTCCGTCCGTCCGTCCGAGGCCATTACTACTCCTACAGTTTTCAAGATAGTTCGTTCTTTGTGCATTCGGAAGCTTATAGCTCTGGCTCCTGAACTATGAAAATCTTGACGATTAATGTGCCCATGCTCAGGTTGCGCAGTGTCGACTTTCTTGTTTATAGAGATATTTTTTTGAAATGTTAATCACATATGCTTCTAGTAAAGACAAGCATATCTCAGATTGTAAAAACCATATGTGCGCATGCACAAAATATGCTATGTTAACTTTCTGATATATAGAGACGTTTTAACCAAGGATTCTTCTAGTAAAGTCAAACATATGGCATATTTTAAACATCAAGCGTGCGCATACGCTGTGTCAAATTTGTTGTTTATAAGAATACTAGCTTTTCCCCCGCGACTTCGTACTGTCGATTTTGACGGATATATGATAACGGAAACCCAACGTATATAGAATGTAAAATATCAACATGACTTGGCGCATGTATCTATCGCGGTACGCGAAATAGCAGATTGCGACGTCAATGAAAAAAGAAGTTTGAAAAAAATCCCATAATCCGATCGGGCACAATAAACCATCTGGGGACCCGCAGAGACACAACAAAATTTGATCAAAATCCGTACGTCAGAAGAATGTTATATGTAAAGATTTATACCATAACTTATTTTCCTTCTTCCTCCGACACATGACTAGTACGTGACATAACCTTTCGGGAAGTTTAAATTAAGGGAAGGCGAACATCTTTTTTTCATTTTTCTTCCTTTGTTTCTCTATCTCATTCCGTAAAAATCCAATATGGCGTCCATAAGAAATACAAAAAATAGTAGCTTGTAGCTTCTACATCTAGCGTAATATGGTAGTTTGGGTAACAGATTCAGATTCTCTGAAAAAAGTGCCCATAGAAGGTGGCAAGTGGGACCGGCTATTTCGGACCATTTAAGCTAGCGAAAATGTAAATTGACATTTTTAGTTTTTCAGTGACATCTCGGTTATTTTCAAAGATTTTTCAAAAATTTCAAGAGCGTTGTTTAGTCACAAAAAGGGACAAGTTTGTTGTTAACTACACCTACACATACTCACCCAATGCTGAGTCACGAATTTGAACACCCTGTACGTTAGGCTTAAAGGATGTCAAAAACGTTTTCTTTGTTAAAATTTGAGCTTTTGCTAGATGTTCTGTCAAGAATTTGGCATCTGGTTTTAATATTTAAAAATATGCTTAAAAAGACAAAGTAGCACAGAAAATACGAAAACGTCTCTTGAAACATTTTAAAGTATTACACTTTCTTCCATCAAGTGCCGCTCCTATTTCCACAATAAAAAATAAAAACTGTTTAGAACTTCTATAACCGTAGGTTGGAAATATGGGAAGCATCGCGTTTAGTGCCAAATAATTGTTGTAACAAGTAGCTTATAAGTAGAAATGAATTTTTTTATAATTTAAATGCGAGTATAGAACTCGCAAAAGTGCAAAAAAGTCTTGGAGAACGCATTAGAGCACTCTGGAAACGGCCTTAAAAACACTGGAAGATTTAATATTATAAAAGGAATCTCAAAGTGCACAGCATTTTTTCGCACGCAGAAAACACGCTAAAAGGCTATGGAAGTGATCGAATGCCGCAAAAGGTGCTTTAGAACTTACCAGTACTTTCTAGATCCTTTTCAAAGAACAAGTGCGTAGCCAGTTCCAGAAAGCCCGCACAGCAGAGCTCTGATAAAAGAATGTGGAAAGGGCCTTACCGCATTTTAATATATGGAACGAATTAGAAATGGTCTATGGGTTCTAGAAAAGTTCTGGAAATGGTTCAGGGATTTGTAAAGGGACTGAAAGTGTCCCTCTCCAAAGCTTTTTAGTGTGTGTCGGCGTGCTTTAGAATGATGCAACGGTTTATTTCCTCCATTATTATTGTTTACGGTTTATTACTTGGTGAACAACCCCTGTAACTTTTGAAGCGGGTTGATAGATGGCTCAATCTATTGATGGAATGTATCCACGCAATTTTTCCGCCCAGATTGCCAGCGCCTTGATTTTTGGTTGTCGATTGTCACTTCTTTTCCTTCGTAAGCCGTATCGAAGTATACGTCGATTTAAAAAAAACAGTTGAAAGTGTAAGGTAGAACGCATGGAATTCTAATTGCCATCTTCCGAAGATGTTGATCTCTGGCGATTGAACTCATAATTTAGGAATTCCGAAGTAATTAGTTTGGACGGAGTTCATCTGTGCCCCTAGTGAGGTTATACATTTGCGTTCTTCCCTTTTTATCGTAAGTACTATAAAAGAGATGAAATACGTACTCTAGAAGCATGATATAAAGCTCCGGAAAGCTTTTTATTGTATTTCGAGGTATTTAATTGCTTATAAGACTCTAGAAAGTGTTTAGAAGGCTTTTCAGAATTTTCTAAGTGGTTATTTCCAGAGGTTTTAAGTGTAAGTCTATGAATTCCTTCGGGAGTGTTCGAAAGCCTTCTTAGGTGTTAATATTTTCCTAGTTTCCTAGTCTATTTTTTGTAGTTTTCGTTGGTGCTACCGTGCCTCATATTTGCGAACCTCTATGCACTTCCTCGGAGGTAGCGTTTGATTAAGTTATCCTTTAACTTATTTATTATCAGATGTATCAAAACACGCAGAAATTGCTTCTATGTGAATATTGAATACTCACTGCTGAGGTGTGATTGTGTGGTAATAGTTTATTTTTACACGCTCAAAGCTACAAGATCAGTACATATACCGAATATACGTAAACATACAATCATAAGCTTGCAGAGGAAATAGTTCAATTAGTTGATACCATTGCGCACGTAAATATACAACAAAAAACACAGCAGGGAATGAGAATGGATAGCAGCAAAAATATGTAATGTAATGTCAGCAACCAAAATGCCAAAAGGTACGCGGTCTTGTTGCAGTGAGGCTGATCGGTGATAGGCTTGTAGGGAGGTTCATAGATGCTATAAATCCAAACGGACCCTGAAATTTTACACATGTAGTTTCACGCCTACATCGACGTTCCTAACCTACCTAAAATCATCCATATGAATTCGATTATAAACAGAGCGTACACGACGCGTTCTATTAAGGTGTTATTGAAAAACTTCATGTTGACGATGGGAAGTATCTTGGTAACAATCCCCAGCGCACCTACAAATCATTACAGTAATGATAGCAGGACCCTCGTGTCCAGAACATACCAGCGACTGCTAAGTATATGGGAATAATCGGCTTTATTGGACAGTCTTTCGTTGTGGCCACACCGACACAAAACATGACGATGTTTAGTATTAAGAACACTATAAGGCCTGTGCTCACAGCCGCTGAAACCTCATGATATTAGCTTGAACGGTCTCGTCGTGTAAAACTTACGTTTTTGCACTTTTTCTCTTAACTCATCGACCTGGCTCTTCACCTGTGAATCTTGTCGGTTTATGCCCGCCTCGAGCGGTTGCCTTTGCATATTTAGCGGCGCCTGCTCTTGAGGTGGTGATGATGCCATGACGGTATATTTTGACTAGAACTTCCTGTAAATTACGTAAAATTAGTTACGAAGTAACGCGCTTGTAAAATCAAATGCAAGAATCTCGCCGACGCAAAACATTCATAAACTATAACCAAAAAAGGAACTAATTTTGCAGCACCGTGTGTTTTAAAGGCCTCTATTACATACCAAAAACCTTCATCCATAATATGCATTTTCCAGGTTTTCCACAAAATGGTTAGGGATAAATGGAAACGAATTTCTCTGTGTTGATTCCGAAGGAGGTACATGGTTTGTTTTTGGGTATCCCATTTTTAAATTTCTTCGAAGTTGCCCCCCTCCCTCATATTTTGAAAATGAATTATTGGAACTGTATGATTATCAAGAGTGCCACCTTTGTGTCACCTTTGGAATTTTTGTTTACATGGGAAATCGTAGGTACGTAACTTGAACTTCCAAAGGCGCCTCGCCGTCGCTCATTTTTGATCGCCCGTTACCTTTTAAAAAGACAGAAAATTATCAAAACTAGTGCCAGTACCAATGAGAATCGTTGGAAAGTGAAAACAAAATTGAGCACATGCAATCGGGGTGAGTTTTTAGGGGGTAAAGTAGTTTATTTTAATGAAATTGTCGCTGGTTTTGCAACTCTGTGCTGGTGGTACAGACGCTAGCGCCCCGATGCTCCATTTTTAGCGCATTTCCACAAAAAAAAATGCGCTATTGTGGCCACTTTGTCCGTCCGTCCGTCCGCTCGTTTTGCGACGCTACTAGCTCTTTATCTTAAGAGTTTTTTCGCTATTTGGTTCGTTATGGTGTCGAGTCTTGTACCAAGGAAGGAATTTTTTCTGTACCGCTTACAAAAAAAGTTATTGTAAAAAAAACAAATAGTTATTTGTTTCATTAGTACAAAAAATGTCAGTTTTCGGGACGAGGAAGATAGTTGCTGGACGACGCGTTAGCGGAGTCCAGCAACCTTCCGAGTCCCGAAAACGCATTTTTTGTACGAATAAAACATAAAATTTTTTCTCCAACTCCCTTTACTTCAAATTATATTCGAATTTAGATTCAGTCACAGTTTCACTACTATAGTATAAGAACTTCTGCTTTCTTGTCCTCACGTGTCATGCCACTCTAGTTTTTAGGTTAACTTATGACCTATTCGTTCTTACTTCTTACTTCTCACCTCTCGCGACTTTGTAGGGAGTAAATCTTGAGGTAGCATGTTCTGCCGTTTCTATAATCTCTGGCGGAGTGCAATCCATGTCGCTATCAGTTTCAGTCATTTTATTGTATACACAATTAATATTGTTATATTTTGTATTGATATTGAAATAAAAAACTTACCACACAGTTTTTTAATTAAAATTAATTGCAATTAACTTTTTCAAATTTTGAATTCAAAATGACAGATAATAGTGCAATGGGTCTGAAGTATAGATGGCGTTACGCGCGACGGCGGGTTGTATACGTATTAAAATTACGTTCACGGAATATGTAAATTACGTTACACATGGTTTAAATAAAAATAGCGGGCGTAAATCATTTTCAATACATGTACATACGTATAGGTAACATCATTATTTGCATTGAATATGCAAAAATATTTGATTTGTATGTATAGAAATATCTTACAACCTGCAATGTAAAACGATGCCAATGTGACATATCTCCGTGATTGTAATTTTTTAATTGGCCAATTTTCAAGGTCAATTTCTTTTTGGTACTAGGACCAAAAGTATCCACTTTTTGTACAGTTGCCATGGTGAAAGCGATTAATCCGCAAAACGTCAATTTTACGTACCGAACACTGTCACAAAATAGCGTCTTATTCAGGTGGTTGGAGAAAAAAGTTATTGTAAAAAAAACAAAAAACCGTTTTTTACATGTTCCATAATTTTACACTTTTGCCGTTTATTAACGATCCTAGAATCGTTTATAATTTTGCATTGCTGTCTGTCGTCTGCCTGTTGGTCTGTCCGTCTGTTCTTTGTCTGTCTGTCCCTCTATCTGTCCGTGTGAACGATAACTTTGTTTAGAAATGTCCGATCGCTTTTACATCTCCGTTAGTTATGAACTGAATTGCATAAAATTCAATATGGGCATAGCCTTAGCCATATAATACGCAATGCCAAAAGTTGAGTCGAATCGATTCAAAATTCACAATGCCCTTTTCGCATCTCGACCATTTATAAACCGAATTGCAAATTTTTTACTTATAAAAGAATTTGAATGAAATTTGATACAGAGGCACTTGGGATAAAGGAAAATCAAACGCCAATTTCAAAATTTGGTTTTGCGCATGCGCAGTGCCAACTGTTTTATTTATGGAAGAATTTAAACGAAATTTGATACATAGGCACTTGGGATAAAGGAAAATCAAACGCCAATTTCAAAATTTTATTTTGCGCATGCGCAGTGCCAACTTTTTTATCTATGGAAGCATTTAAGTGAAATTTGATATTTAGGCGCTTGGAACAAAGGAAAATCTAACATTAGTTTTAAAATTTAGGTTTGCGCATGCGCAGTTCCAACTTTCTTATTTAGAAAAGCATTGAAATGAAATTCTTCTCATAAACTGAAATTGAAGTAGCACGTCAAAATGGATTGCCCATGTGCAACGCTATCTTTCATATTTGTGGCCGGATTTTTACGATTTTAACAGAAGTTGCATCTTACAAATGGGAAATGAATGCAAGTGCAAATGCGCTTTATGTAAATCGTTTACGATTACTTTTTAACTTGTTATCGTGTTGATAATTTTTCAACACTGAAATTGGGAAAACATCTCGGAAAACATATAATGGTTTTATGAAAACTTGGAAACTAACACCGTTGAATGGGATAATCCTCTTTGACCTAACGATTCCATAAAAGGTTACGAGAAATGAATCATGCACGAATAATTTCGATTTTGGGACAACCAACACCATTGAAACGCACTTTTGTGAAAACCAAGGAAAAATGACTAAAAAAGTAATGGATAGGTACATTATGTAGAGTGTATCATCCTCGGTATCATCTAAGACCCTTTGGATCATAATTCCTTTACCATAACAGATATCGAAAAAAAATCTTAGAGCAAAATTGTACACGATTACCGTCGCCATGTTTCTAAAATATTTCTGCTCACCAATGGCGTGCTGTATTCCACTGGCGTATCAAACCTACGTTTTTTAATGGAGCACCCCAAATTTTATTGAAGAATTGGAAAGTGCACCAAATTATGGCTTTAGCTTTAAAGATTTCGGTGTTATAACCTTTCCTCACAATTTGAGCGTTTTTCGAATTTTTTCCCCGAGAAACTAAATCGACCGGCGGATAAGTTTTGAATTGAGGCACATGCTAAGCTTTCTTCCACATTCACATAATTTTGTTAGGTCCTTTATCGAAAAAAGAAAAATTTTGATTGAATTTTCGCAAAATTCATATTTTTTTAAATTCTGAATGTCATCCCCTAAACAAATTACAGCTCCGGATAGCCGAGCTACAAAATTTCCACTGATACTAACCGCGCGATTTTGTTCCTCTGAAAAAAATTTGAAAAACGGTCAAATTTTGAGGAAAAAGGGTCATACTGCGAAAGACAGCACGGCACTGGTGATCAAACATATTTTAGACACATGGTGACGGTAATTGTGCACAATTTTTGTCCTACATTTTTTTCCCCGTATCTTTTACAGTAAAGGAATTATTTCCACAGGGATCTTAGACGTTACAGTGTTCCTAAAAATGTACCTTAACATACGCAAGGGGTTAATTTTTTGGCTTATATTATGATTAAAGGTTCATTTTTTTGCATCTGCGGCCGATATCGAGAAAAAAATATCAATTTTTGGGCGGTAGTTCTCTAAATGAAATTCAAATGTTTAAAATGGCCCAGTAGGCGCTGATTTTATTTGGAGAATCTCTTGTTTTTATTAGTCTTGATATAGAGGTTTTGTTGATAGTTCGCATTTGAAATTGTATCTTGTGTTTGCAGGAGATATTTAAAAAAGACAATGCGCCAGGGGGGGGGGGATAAGTTCAAATGAATTGATCATGAGTTATGGCAAACATGTCAACTCATACCTCAACTCATACTTTATCGATTTGGGGAGGATTTTAAAATAGATCCACAATCTCAGTCACTAACAGTGGAGGTTTTATTTTAGAGAAAAGAATGCCCAATGGCCTGTTTCACAATATCTACTCTTGTCCTTAAGTGCTTGTTTACAATGAACGTATACGTAAGAAATACATAAAACGTAAAAATTTCGCAAAGTTGAACTGTATAGAAACATACGAAGGTGTTTACAATGAACGTAATTTTTACGTACGTATATGTAAGCGATATGTATAAGTCTTGCGCATAGTCGCAAAGGTTGAAAATGTTTCAAAGTTACCTACGGTCAAAGATCATACTACTTGTAGTATGATCTTTGGTTTATTGTAAACAGCGAAGTAAATTTACGGAAACGATACGGATATGTACGAGTTACGGTTTATGAAATATTTACGTATACGTTCATTGTAAACGCACACTTACGGTTTATGAAATATATATTTACGTATACGTTCAATGTAAACAAACACTAAAGTGATGTGGATGAAGTGATCACTTTATCTTGTACTATATCGTCTAAGCTTTATCTCCAAAGATTTAGCCTAGGTACTCATTCAAATCTATTAAATTGTCAATTTGACATCTGCTATAAAATATAGTAACTTTTATCTAGGTATTCTAGGGTAAAGGTAAAAGATGTAAATATTAGTTAATAATCAATTTCAGTATTAAGGTTAATGCTGGTTGCAATTATAAACACAATTCAGAACCCATCTTATAACTGGTTGAAGTTAGCAGGCAAATTGCCGAAGACAGAACGTCCAGTGGCGCAAGTTAATAGTAGGGGGGGGGGGGGCCCGAAAACTCTAAAACTCTCCATTAGCATTCCAAAAATTTGAAAATAAATTGGCAAAAAAAATCTAGACTTTAGCATCTAAAAGTTGTTCAAAAACGTAGAGGTGCGGATGAACGGTAATAACGTAATAGTACTTTTTAACCTTTTGTTTCATTCTTAAACCAGGTGTCAAATTCTTGACAGAATAGCTTCCTAGCTGAAACCAAATTGCCAACATATGTTTTTTTACGCATGCATTTTGTTTGCTTTTATTAGAGGGACCTACCATCCAAATTTCGTTAAAATTGCTCCATAAATAAGAAAGTTGGATATTGCACATGCGCAACACTATTTTTTGCGCATGCATTTTGTTAGCTTTTATTAAAAGGACCTACCATCTAAATTTCGTTAAAATTGTTCCATAAATAAGAAAGTTGCATTTCTGCGCATGCGCAACACGATTTTTGCACATGCATTTTGTTTGCTTTTATTAGAGGGACCTACCATCCAATTTTCGTTAAAATTGCTCCATAAATAAGAAAGTTGGATGTTGCACATGCGCAACTCGTTTTTTTGCGCATGCATTTTGTTTTCTTTTATTAGGAGGACCTACCATCCAAATTTCGTTTTAATTGTTCCATAAATAAGAAAATTGCATTTCTGCGCATGCGCAACACGATTTTTGCGCATGAATTTTGTTTGCTTTTATTAAAGGGATTTACCATAGAAATTTCGTTTAAATTGCTTCAGAAACAAGATCGTTGCGTTTTGCACATATGCAACACAATTTTTTGACTTTGACAATTTTTTTTCTCCGTTTTTTGATAATATAACCCGGCCCAATTTTTTGTAGGTTGTACACAGCAAAATAAGGTCTACCAAATAATAGAATAAAAATTTTAGGTTGCTATTTGAAAAAAAAAGTTCGATGCCGTTACGGCGCTCCAAAATTTTTTTTCAAAAATCCGGCCCGTTATTTTTCTGTTCGGTATGCCTAAAACATATATACAAAATTTCAACAAAATCCGTCGAGCCGTTTTCTCAGAAAATTGCCAACAAACGTACGTACGTACGTACGTACATACAGACGGAAAACCAGGTGTCAAATTCTTGACAGAATAGCTTCCTAGCTGAAACCAAAAATTGCCAACATATGTACGCACTTACAGACGGGAAAAATTTATTCTTTAAAAGTTGCTTAAAATAATCTAAAACGTCAACATTCTCATAAAATTGCCAACAAACGTACGTACGTACATACAGACGGAAAAAATAAGAAAGGTGAATTTTTTACGCATGCATTTTGTTTGCTTTTATTAAAAGGACCTACCATCTAAATTTCGTTAAAATTGTTCCATAAATAAGAAAGTTGCATTTCTGCGCATGCGCAACACGATTTTTGCGCATGCATTTTGTTTGCTTTTATTAGAGGGACCTACCATCTATATTTCGTTAAAATTGCTCCATAAATAAGAAAGTTGGATGTTGCACATGCGCAACTCGATTTTTTGCGCATGCATTTTGTTTTCTTTTATTAGGAGGACCTACCATCCAAATTTCGTTTTAATTGTTCCATAAATAAGAAAATTGCATTTCTGCGCATGCGCAACACGATTTTTGCGCATGAATTTTGTTTGCTTTTATTAAAGGGACTTACCATAGAAATTTCGTTTAAATTGCTTCAGAAACAAGATCGTTGCGTTTTGCACATATGCAACACAATTTTTTGACTTTGACAATTTTTTTCTCCGTTTTTTGATAATATAACCCGGCCCAATTTTTTGTAGGTTGTACACAGGAAAATAAGGTCTTCCAAATAATAGAATAAAAATTTTAGGTTGCTATTTGAAAAAAAAGTTCGATGCCGTTACGGCGCTCCAAAATTTTTTTTCAAAAATCCGGCCCGTTATTTTTCTGTTCGGTATGCCTAAAACATATATACAAAATTTCAACAAAATCCGTCGAGCCGTTTTCTCAGAAAATTGCCAACAAACGTACGTACGTACGTACATACGTACGTACGTACGTACGTACATACAGACGGAAAAAAATTTTATTCTTTAAAAGTTGCTTAAAATGGTCTAAAACGTCGACATTTGATGAAATTTTGAAATGTTCAAAAAACGGCTATCGCAATAGCTACCTAGCACATGCTAGGAAGCTAAAAATAAAACTAAACCTATACTTAACGGAGGAAGCTTGTTAAACAACCTTCAACATGGGAGGGCGTTATTACATAATTACTTTACATAATAACAACAATAATACATAACACAATGACAGTGTAATTCAGTTCGTTATCGCTATAGTTCATGACACAGATGCCATTATTTATTCCCACTTGCATTACCGGCAACTGAAGTTTGCACATTTTTGTACACATAAATTTGGGTTAACTTCGAAGACAAAAACCGACCGAAATAACAGGCGGCACTTGTACCTATTTATAGCACGAAATTTAATACAAAAGCGCCCCACCCGCATGTTGCGTTGCATTAAGATTGGCGACCTTGCGCATATTACACAACAAAAATAGTATAAATGAAATAGGCCATTTCTCACATAGGCATTTAACTTAAAAAATTCGAGCATTGTTAGTGAACATTTTTCAACTTTATCTAAAGCAGCACACAGCACGCGTCTTTGTGAACAAATTTATTCAAATCTTACCTACCTACTTACTATTAGTGTTGAGGTACAAAAATACCACTAGGAACACTTTTTATATTTACAGCAGCTATAAATTTTAGGCTCAACAAGCAAATCAAACTTGCTTTATTAGAAAAGCAGGCCAACAAACTAACGCCGCCGTTCCGATTTTCGATGCACGCTTCACGTCACAGTGTATAGTCTATCGTGCGAAGGCCGTTAAAAATGCGCAGAATCTCCCAAAAATTAATTGGGAACATAAACACTAAGCACATGGAATAAATATGATGGGGAAAGTTGTCAGCGTGACCGAATTTTAATTCTCACCTGATGGTTGTTGAGCGTTGCTCGAATTAATTCGATGTGCCCCACTTGCGTGCTGTGATGAAAAGGCGACGTTGTGGCGCCGGATTTTCTGTTTGCTTTTCTATGTGGTAGGTTCTATTCAATGTTATCAATCAGCAAACCGGTGACGATTACAAACAGAAATAAACCTTCACCTTCAGAGATTAGCTGGAGTAATTTTAGTATTGTACTTATAATTATTTGATAACTAGAGAGGTTTATAAATAAAATAAATACAACTTCGAATGAACCTGGTCCAATTTAAATAATTTTATTTAAATTTTATGAGAAGTTCTTCGAGTTTCTCAAACGATCATAACTTTCGGGTTCTTCGAATTCTTGTTTCTTCTAATACTTTCGATTTTTCAGGTTTTATTCCTTATTTCTATTCGTCTGCTTCGAATTGTTTAGATTATTTCATTTCTTCGAATTCCGAATTCATGGTTTCTTGAAATTTTCAGATGTTTCGTATTCTTCATATCCGCCAAACGGTTCAGATTTTTGAGATTGTAAATGATTTCGAACTTTCAGATTTTTAGTATCCATAAAATTCGTTAGGTTCACCTGATGTGGTTTTCATCTATTTTTTTCATTTTTTTCTAGGTTTCTTGGCATGCATTCAAATTGTCTGGATTATTTAGTATTCTCAATGGACTCTTTTTTCGATTATTTGCATTCATGCATTAGGTACTTAAATTTTTTGGATTTTTAATTTGCCACAGGGGATTTGAATCTTCCGTTCTTTGGTTCCTTTGGATCTTCCGTATTTTTTTCATGCTTCGAATCCATCAAGTGCTCGTAATTTTTAATCTGCATATTTTCTGGTTGTTTGGTTTCTTCCTAATTTTTGGATATCTTACATTCTTCTATTTTTTTTTATTTCATAATATATTTTCAATTTTTAAGTTAGTTTGTTGATTCTACGGGTTTTATCCAATTCTGTGGTTCCTTCTTATCTTTAGGATAACAATTTTTCTTAATTCTTCCATTTTTTTATTCGCCCGTTTCTATTCTACATATTCAACGGATTATTCAGATTCTTCGGAGCCTACTCTTGTCAATTACCACGGAGTATGTGCATCGTATATGTATACATCGAATTTTTCTGATTTTCCATTTCTTTTGGTTTCTTCAGATCCTTCGAATTCTTCTTTTTTTAGGGTTCTCTTTTCTCATTTTTCGTATCTATAAAATTCTCTTATTTCAGCTTCTTGGAAGTCTTGGGTTTTCTGTTTTTTGGGTTTCTTCCTATTTTTTGGATTCTTTCGTTCGTCTTGAAATTACTTCTATTCTTCTCCTAGAGTTCTACAAATTTTTAAGATGGGTAATTTTCGAGGTTATCTAGACCCGTTATGATGCTTAAGAATTTGAACATTCTTCCGTTTTGTCGGATTCGTTGAGATTTCTTGAATTTTACCGGCGCTATTTAAATGCTTTTTATTATAATAAACGAATTAATTCTTAGGAATTTTGCATTCTTTCAGTTTTTTTGGATTATTTCAACTCTTTTTCTTCAATTGTCCAATCTCTGATTCTTACGATCTCTTGAATTTTTTTAAGTCTACGAGACTTTTTAGGTTCTCACTCATGATTTTTCAGCTTCATTTTTCTTATTGCTCAAATTTGTTAGTATTTTTTGATTCTTGGAATTTCTCAAATTCTTTGGCGTTTTTCGTCGTCGCCATATTTGAGTTTTTTTAAAAACAGGAACAACATCAGAAGCAAAAAACCTAAAAAAATTAGATTTTTTAACTTTATTTATTTATCGTCACTTTTAGTCATAAAATGTCCTAAACAATTAGCCCCTTCCGTATTTCCATCAAATTTGAGAACACCTTGTATAAACAAAAACATCAAGATCAAACATGGAGAGATTTGAATAGCTACAGAAATCATACTCACTCAAACATGCTTTTTTGGTAAATTTTAAGCGCATTTTTCCAAACGCGAAATGTGACTATTATAGATGCTTAGTTCCTAGAACTACTTTCCACTGGAGAGTTGCTCTAAACCTCTCGCCAGAAAAGATTGCCGGTCATAGAACACTTGATCCCGGTCTACAATCTACGTATCGTGTCAATGTTGAACAAAAAGATTTTTCGTTCAACATTGGCACGACCCTATTCCGGAAGTCGCTCGCATCTTAAGAAAAACATAGATTGTAAATCGACACAAGGTGTGCTGTGACCGGCAATCTTTCCTGGCGAGCGTTTTATTTGAATTTTAATGTAAGTGTGCTGCGTTATAAAGCCCTGTTTGACGGTGGTGATTTTCTGATAATTGTACTGGGATGCATATCAGCTACCATATGTATCACCCCAAAATATGTTCACTTAAAAAAATCAGATCAATCTAATCCAATAATCAGTAAAAATAAGTGGTGCAGTTACATAGTACATGAATAAATATCCCAAATAACATTAATGAAATATTTGCACTGTATTCAGTTATGTATACAGTTATAAATTGGTAAAGTAGCAATAGTCAAAAGTGTTGACATCGAGTAAAATAAAAAAAAGGACAGGTAGTTCAAAGATAGAAAAGTAAAACACTCGCCAATTAAGTTGAAGTTGCTTTTTTTAAAGTGAGCATAATGTTTTAAGAAAAACTCCCTTACCTGTATTGTAATTGATATTGTAATTGGTATTGTACGACAAATATCTTTCTTCGCTCGGCTCTCCAGCACCAACACCAAATGTTGGCAAGAGAATAATAAATTAAGATTTACCAAGTACCTATTGGTCTTTTATTTCGAAAAAGTAACAATTATGATATACTTAACTGAAATATACCGGGTGAATCATTAGAACTGAGGACAGTTTGAATTTCGCGCGTACAATTCTAGTGTTTTTTACGTGATTGAATTGGCGATGATATATTTTTAGTTATTTTACTAATTCTTATTAGTCACCAGTGCCGTCGTTATTTCGTTAATTTGTTGTTGTTTTTAATTTACTTTTCCAATCTGTATTATCAAACAGTTCTTTCCAAAACTACGCTGTAAATTCAAGAATTTGTTGAAGTAAGTAATTAAATAACGGTTAAATTAGACTAATGTGCATTTGTAGGTTAAAAATCCCCTTCTTGAGGATCCTCCAGTCCTGTCGAGAGCAGTTTATGGAAGGAACAGTGTCCCGATCTTATTATTTCTTATAAAGCATTTGCCAATCATAAGAAACGAATCGTTGATCGATTTGAAAACAAGAATTGCATTTGCAAAGAAGAAAAAAACAGGTCATCCATGACTAAGAAACGATGAAGTGGTCGAAGACAAAGAATGGAAGCGAGTTCCAGAAAATCAATCCGTCAGTTAAGTGCCCAGGCTGGTAAGTGGTGCACGTAGAATAAATATCTACTAACTTTATTTTCGAATTACAGGAGTGTCTTATGCAACATGCCAACGAATTTTGCATAAAGATCTACGTATACATACACCCGTACCGGGTTTCTGTTCTACAGCAACTGCACGCTCTTGATTATGAGAATCGACGTAATTATTCTGATTGATTTAATAACGATTTAAATAATAACGACTTATTTGTAAATTAAAAATAAATTATTACTCCTTGGAGAGTGATTCTACATACACCACTGGAATTAGGCAAATGATAATCTATTATTACCAACCTTTAAAAATTTTTGTTTTGTGGGAAATTCAAACTGTCATCAGTTCTAATGAATCACCCGGTATATATATTCATTATATAATAATGTTTCATGTGTACAAAATATCGTTATCGTTGTATATTTTTAAGTATACAGCGTGTCCTCTAAAGCTCAAAAATATCATAAACATAAAATGGTTCAGGTTCCCGCCACGGGTTGCCGACTCCTGCAGGCCAAAATACACTGTATAATTATTGTATTTGTCTGCTAATCCTCAATGGATTTACAAAAGTTTATAAATTTGGCCACGCACACAAGTAAGCAACCAAGTATGCAGCACGTAAAGAGAATCGTGAGTCCGATGTAAATATAATTTATGGTGAGTAACCAAAATGCCAGAAGGTACGCGGTTTTATCACAATGAGGTCCTTCGCTGGGATGGTAGTTCGGTTGATATATGCTGTATATCCAGACGGAACCTAAAAACCGAATTGTCACCTTTTTTTACTGATTCTGGAAACGGAAGCTTACCCGCTATCATCCAAGCGAATTCAAAGACGTACAACAGATACGCGATCCATTGCAGTACGTTCAATTGCAATTTGTAGTTAATAAACGGAAGTAACTTGGACACAATTCCTACCGCGCCCGCGACGGCTAGATAAATTGGTATCTTTGGGTTAATGGGACAGTCTTGGGCGGTGATTATTCCCACGCACAACATTACCGTGTTTAATACTACGTATATAAGGTAGAACGTACCCGCCGCCGCTGCAAGAAGTTTGAATTACATTTTACCCCGCAACGCGGACGTCTTGTTCACTTACGCTTCTTGTACTTGTCTTTAATCTTGTCAAGTTCAGCCTTTTCTTCATCGTTTGGCAGTCTAGCTTCCAGTTCTAGCGATCCGGCTTCTATCTTCGTCACGTTAGCTTCTTCTGAAGGGGTTGAGGTGGCCATTTTGTATAGAACCTGTAAAGTGTGATTGTTTAGGTGGTATGCCGTAAATCTAAATATGATGGAATTAGATTTAGACGAATTTAAAATCCCTCAGAGCAAGAAATACAGATCCAAAAAGATGAGAGAGTTTTGATTACTAATACCGAAAAAAACCAACTTTTTTAAGGTAATATTTATAACATCGGTATATGGAAGGACGGAAATAGATTTTTAGATATTGATGTAAAATTATGGAACATGTAAAAAACGGTTTTTTGGTTTTTTTACAATAACTTTTTTAGCAATAAACGCAGAAAAAATTCTTTCTTTGGTGCGAGCCTCGACCCCATAACGAGCCAAATAGCGAAAATAGTAGAACAATAGCTGTTTCAACGAACGAGCGGACGGACGGACGGACAAAGTGGCCACAATAACGCTTTTTTTTATATTTTTGTGGAAATGCGCTAAAAACATAAAAAATCAAACTAGGCCCATGACTGCACGTTTACTCAGTTTTGCATTCTGAACAACTTTTCTTAATAACATTTGTGCGTATCTCGTTCCCAAAGAGCATTTTATTGGTACAAAAAAAATGTTTTTTGGACATTTCCAAGGCACCCTATATTTTTCGAAATCAAAATTATGTCCAACCAAACAGGCCTGATCCCCAGAAGACCAAAATTCAATTCTATTTTTTGTCTTTTACAAGAGCCGACCCAACAATTGGGGGGGCACACTGCATATTTCTTGAACTGACTAAAATTCCTCAAATGTGCTAGTTTCATTCAAAGTCAATGGGTGGAGTAGTGAACAATCGCCTATACAGGGTGGGGACTTGCGTAACGCATCATAGGGATTTCAATGTAAAATTCATAACATGCGATTATGGGCTCCCCAAATTATTTTAGAGCAAAAATGTGTTAAAGTTTTTTGTAGAAAATATTTTTTTACGCCAATAAATCGTATTAGTTTTCAATTTTTTTCATATAAAGATGGAAAATTGGAAAAATAAAACCCACATCTTTTTTCAATAATCTGCGTTGCCATGGAATTTTCTAAAACAAAAAGATATCCAGTTATCAATTAGCAGCAGTTCGAAATGGATTTTATGATCGACTTGGTTACTGTCTTGCAGTTAATGGTGACTTACTCGTATTCGAACATTTATTGTAAATTGTTATATTAGGAAACCGTTTTTAGTAATTTGGTCTTTCTTTATATTGAATTCACTGTTCTAAATATAATAATTTTTGATAGAATTTGATTGGTTTTATAGCATTCATTCCATGGCATGACGGATATTGGCGTAGTTTTTGTATTATAATATTCCATAGCATCACAGATTATTGAAAAAGATGGGGGTTTTATTTTTCCAATTTTCCGTCTTTATTATGCAAACAATTGAAAACTAATACGGTTGATTGACGTAAAAAATTTTTGTCTACAACAAACTTTAATATATTTTTACTATAAAATAATTTGGGGAGCTAATAATCGCATGTTATGAATTTTACATTGAAATCCCTATGATGCGTTACGCAAGTCACCACCCTGTATATTACCTTCTATACGTAAGCATCATGTGCTTTTTTGGGGCAAACTTAAAATGGTAAAATCAAAATTTGAAAGTGTTCGATCGCTTAGGAGAATAAGTATACGAGGTCAGGTAAACAAATTATCGGACCTAACATTATTTTTTTTTAGATTCGATTTTCACACGATTAGGGCGTTGTGCGCAGTTTCGAACTTTTGTTTTCTTACTTACTCACTACAGTGCCTATTTCCCTTACGGGCCATATAAACAATAAAGATGATGATCTCTCCGAAACGAAGCGTTGTATTGAACAACAGTGTTTTCTTACTTACTCACTACAGTGCCTATTTCCCTTACGGGCCATATAAACAATAAAGATGATGATCTCTCCGAAACGAAGCGTTGTATTGAACAACAGTGTCTTTTTGAGCTCAAAAAGTGACAATGAGAAAGTGTTTTTTATTTTTTTGTATCGGTTTAACATCAGAAATAAATAAAAACGAAATCGGCAAATTTCGCATTTTCTGGCATATCTTCGGAAGTAATCGAAATGTTCTGGTTTTCTTTAAAGCATCATAATATCTCTTCACTCTAATTTAACCAACGTCGTATCTTCTATACTTCTATGGTTTGCGACATCCCCATGATAGACATCCTTATCACACTGTGTATCTGGATTTACAAATAATTGAATGTTCAAAAATGTTATTTTGAAGTTTTTTACTTCATCCCGTATACAATACTTACGCGTGTCAGTAACTCAAGAGATGCACTTTCTGTGTATGCATGAATTAAGACTCTTTCGTCGTTCACTACACGAAGAGGTTAATGAGGTAGTGAAATTTCATCGTAAGGAATTGACGAGGGAATTGGCCTATTGCACAGACGAGTTCATATGCGTTTTTGGAAAGAAACACAGAGAGGTGTACGAACTCATAGTTAAATTGTGCAGTATCGTGGTCGATGAAGAAAGACGGAAAGCTTGCGTTCAGCTTATCACATCTCCCATAGTGGAGTCTTATGGCGTTTTCTAACAAAAATCACGATCGCATGCGTTTATTTCAACACGTAGAGTAAACTGAAATATACATGCAATTTTGAAGGGGGGGGGGGTATTATTTGTTTCCGTGACCCTTGACGTTCACATAAATGACAGAGGAACGATTTTATCGAAAGACGAGTTCTAGATTAATTCACCTATTCACTATTTCCCTCAGTAAAAATGCCCCCGTCCCTTACGCATTACGAGCCCAGTCACATACAGTGATATTCATGTAGAAGTAGACATAGGGATTTCCTATAGGAATTTCCTATGTCTACTTTTACATGATAAAAGTCTCCTGAAAGACGCCTAATTTTATGCAACCAAAATAACTTCTTGAAACAAATAAAGATCTGACTGTCATATTAATTATTAATTTGAATATCGTTGCTGTAGCTTCACAGAAAATAAATCTCTTAAGCTCCTTTAACTGTTATCGGTACTATTCCAATTGGAAATATCAACTTTTTCTGTAGTTGAATACATCGCACGCGAACCGAAATCAGAATAGGGAAGTCAAAGCGATAATATTCAAATTAATTAATATGACAGGCAGGTCCTCATTTGTTGTGTAAAATAGGCGTCTTTCAGGAGACTTTTTATCATGCAAAAGTAGACATAGGAAATTCCTATAGGAAATCCGTATGTCTACTTCTACATGAATATCACTGTATATGTTGGACCAAAACAAATATTCAACACCATTTTCTAAAATAGAATTTATTATACTACTAGATTTTCCCCCGCTTCTTCGTACGCTCGATATTGAGGGATAACGAAAAGCCAGCTTACAGAATGTAAAAATTTAAATTCATCGGCACGATACGCTAAATAGCACAGTGCGACATCAACGAAGAAAGAAGCTTTTAAAAAGCCCCGATAATCCGATCGAGCATAGTTGTGAATTTAAACAATTCGGGGACACACAGAGACATATAACAAAAATTTCATCAAAATCCGTCCGGTCGTGTAGGGAGGAGAAGCACACGTACAGGGTGTCCTATTAATAAGGTAACAGGCCATATCTGGACGCTGGAAATTATATTCAAGTTTCTAGGTTTGACGCTAGAGGGCGCACGATTCATGGTTAAGTAGAAAAATGATTTTTCCTAAAATATACCCAACAAACATACATACAAATTACATGCATCGCAATCTTGTATGAATTTTGCATCATTTTGATGCGCGCCATATTGCGCGAGCTCATAAAATATAAGGGCGGGGAAAGGGGTACGTCTGTTTAAGGAGTTGAATGTAACTTCGGTTTATGTTACCCGATTTTCACATAAATTTTGCAGGTTTTCTGGAAAATTTCATATGGAACGGCAATTATATGATACTATCAAATAAGATGAAAAAGTGAAAATATCAATGAGAACCGCATTTTGATATCTGCTTGAATCTTGAAAATAATTTCCAGCGATTTCTAAACAAAATCTTTTTCCTCGAGCAGTGCAGTTAACGGTTTCATAGATATGGTCTGTGACCTTTATTAATAGGACACCCTATACAGAAGAATTGTATTAATACAGGGTGTGACATACAAGAATGTAATTCGGTGATAGAGGGGATCAAAACAAGCACTTTTTTAAAAAAAAAGTGTTTCGTTTGGAAGCCACCCTCAAAAAAGTGGTGAAATTTACATTTCTTTTTTAATTTTTTTCTCTGCAACTGTAAGAATTAGAAAGACTGGTGACACGACTATGAAGAGGTTTTGGGGTATCTATGTCCTTTCTAATTTTTCAAAAAATTGTTCAGCATTCCTATCACGAAAGGGAGCACCTCTAAACGTGGTTGCGAAAAAAATTTTTCGACGAAATTTGGTATCTGCAGGATCTATCTCACTCCAGGTACTCCCAAGTTCGATGAAATGAATGCACGTGGAAAAATTGTAAAATAAACAAAAAGACAAGCAAAAAGGTAAAATAATGTCTATTTGTTTTCGTTCAATACGTAGGTACATACAAACTGGGCTCGTAGCTACTGTGGAAGTGAAGAAGGTCCAAGATCAAAATCCAAAAATTCATTTGATTATCCTTTCCTATTTTACATATTATGTTATGTGTATACTCATCCTAAAGCTTTTGCTATTTAATAAACTGCACATTCTCATTCAGCATATGTATAGTCGGAACGTAACCTAAATTTTGTACTCCTATTTGACCTAAAATAAATTACGTCATTTAGAATTCCACAACTCGTTGGACGTATAAATTTTAATTCTGCGTGGGAAGCTTTAATTACTCTGGAATTCATTGTGAGTGCACCGTTTAAAATCTAATATGCTGCACTGCCCTCTATGTACGTCTTTATTTTCCCTTTATCAAGCAACGTGCAATGAATTTTTGATAAGTATATCAGGACGATACTGTAAAGGACATGTTTGGGCACACTTATTTGGAAAATGTGCACTAATGTAAAGCAATGGGGCAACCATTGTGGTTTCCATGACTTTACATTTAGCTTTTTTTTTAAATTAAGGATTAAAATAGCAGATGTCATACTCACCAATACTTCAGGTGATAATTGACAAACAAAAGCAAATTTGGGTTAAATGCACTAGTATAACTTGCAATCACCGAACCGCATAGTAAGAGTAACTAAAGCGACTCGTCGAAATAGTGTATTTGGTTTGATTAGGTGTATAATTTGTAGTACGGAAAGTAGGGATATTCTGTGTCTGGTGTCATCTTTTAACCTTTGACTTCAATTACTACACGACTTAATGCTTTAAGTCTTTGCAAAGGCTTCTCTATCTAGGCGTGTTTTACATAATTCAGCGCAAACTCAATCGCCTTTACCATCACTATTTTAAGGATTCATTAATGAAGGCAAAATCAACTTGGTTAATTCAGCTATTTGTGGATTTTTTCATTTTTCAATGTGCAAATGAGCGAATTGAAATAATTCGTTATGCAGTCTACACGGAGCTCGGTACTGCTTAGAATACGATATGCTACATGAATTGATAATTTTTAGTGGATTTTATAACAAAAAAAATGGATTTTATTTTTCATGGTATTCTAATTAATGTAACTGTTCTCTACCAACTACCGCCGTTCTTTCTTACCATCATCAAAATAGGGTGTTGGGGGGTTGATGGCTTCTTCATGGTACTGTAATGAAAGGTCTCAATGAAAGGAATTAATTTCTACCAACCATAGTCCTTCTCCTCGACCGCGACCCCTTACCCGCTTACCGTGATCGGATGTAATTTTTTCCTTATATCTCAAGAGCGGGTTATCGGAGGAGGGTACTCATAAAGAATGATTAGGAGGTCTGGCAGAAATACGTATATCTATTGGTGATGTCAAAACTTACACGTCAACCTAACTAGTTACTAAGCTATTTCGGTTTAAAAAATGCGCTTTATAGTCTTGTGCACAATTTATACTTGTTATAAATCGAAGTGAGAATGAGCGGCATTTATCTGTGGTTTATGAACTAGAGCCCACGTGTTACTTTGACAGTTTGCTGGAATTGATCGTCTGGAAAGGATGCCAACGTCTGTGGCAAAAATGGTCTTCCTCACACTATTGATTGAGTCGGAAGCAGTTCGATCGGGGCTTTGGTCCCAGAATTTATTCAATGAAAATTAAAGGCAGGTTTTTTCGATATTTCTCGAAACGATGATATGAAATCGATCATGGTCATCAACGACATTCTATATTATTGGATACATTTTTATTTCATTGTGTAACTAACAGAATGCGCGCTTAGTGTGTTAGGAATAGTTAGTACCATTGGCATGCCTTTCACTTTTGATTTTGTCGTGCTAATGACAGGTCTATCTTTGGGAAGAATGCCGATTTGAATTGAAAAGATTCATCACGCTAAAATTATTTAACTAATTATCTAAGCGTCTTTACGCGAATGGGAAAGGGCTGTATTCCTCTTGATGTAAAGTTATTTTCATATCATTTCTCTTTATTAAAACGTTTCATTTTAGGTTATGTCATATGTGCTAATTTAATTACTTATCTTTGTTTTATCTATCTCGTGATCTAAGACTAATGGGGTACGTAAGTTCGAATTAATTGAGGTCGGAATTCGACGCCTTTTTGGTTTTATAAAAATCTAGTGGACTACACCGACCGACGGATTGCGATTACTACGGCTTGATGGGAGCTGAATCCGTTCTCCTATCGGCACTAAAACAATTTGATACTGTGTATATACAGAATAATAACGAATATTCTCTATTACAGCTATTTGCAACCTTGCAGATGCGTTAGCTATAAAACAACATCAATTTATGAAATTACTTTACCAATAACTAGATAGCTTGATACAAATTGTTAATATTTATTCAACTGATCGATTGGCAACCTCCTTTAATTAAGATAAAGCAATAGGGAAGGGCTCATTTCTGTCTCGCACACTTCCGTGCCCTAATTATATTAACCTGCAAGCGAGAAAACTTAGCGTCACACACTAAACATTGTAAATTTGTAAAACAACTACCTACCCATGTACACCGACCGTTTTCGATTGGGGGGACACGCGATTGTCATCTAAAAAAGTACTTTCATCCTGTAAAAGCGTTTTACTTCAAAACTAATTAAAATATCGGCCACATTTGACAGTTTCAGAAAGGGTTCAGTAAATTTGATTCCCTTTTTAATTTAAAAAGTTAAATAGTATTGCTGCAAGAGATGTACATTTTAAATTGTACTGTCAGTTCCTTCAAGTTGTTTTTGCTTATCAGAAAACCCCAAAGAAAATTAAAGCAACTTTAACGCGAAAAATGATCAAGTTTTTGCTTGTTTAAATTAATGTTTAGAAACGGCAACGTGCAGTTTTCAAATGAGATGGACAATCGGCCATGAATAATTCATTGAGCATACGGACTCACAGAATATGGATCCTTTGTTCTTAGATGTGTAATTTCCTTGCGAAGTAACCTGCTTTCCGTTAGTATTTCCAGGACTAATATTCTACCCTCATGACTTCCATTTTTCACGTGTTCTACATGTCATGAAAGCGAAATGTGAACTAATTTTCAGTTACGGAAATGTGTGCGACATTGAAACAGCGACATGGAAACGGAACAGGTCCAGATATTGTTTTTATTTCATAATATCTGGTAATCGCCGCTTTACCAGACTCATTGAGTCTGGTAAATCGTATTTTACCAGACTGGAAATGTTGCCTAGCAACATCAACTAAACCTAAACCTACAGGGTGAGTTTTTTTTCATTTTAAGCATTAGGATCTCGGAAACCGTAAGACATAGAGATTCGGTTAAATAAGGAAAGAGTTGTAGTTTTAAGAGCTTATTCATGATTATGCTTTTGTTTTTGTAAAAAAATCCACAGTTTACTAGATATGAGCGAAAAACAGATTTAGTGATTTTTCATTTAACTGTTTAGAATCGTTATTATTAGAAATACAACACCACACCAATAACGCATTTATTTCGATGGACCTTTTATTAGAATACCTTGAGGGTAGAGTTATGTTGACACCCCCCTCCATTTTCTAAAGTTTAACTGGTACCAAAAGGCATGCGTTATGGCAAAATATGAGACAATTGGTTGTTCGTATGTAAAAGTTATGCACGTTTTACTTTCAAAAACATCATTTCAGAAAATAATTCGTGGGGGGGCCCCCTTTTAGACAGCGAAATTTGATGGCCGTCTGGCACACCTTCAAGGTATAGGCTACCTACTGCAAAACATTCCAGGACTGTAGGACCATTTCCCTAGAAATAGTTCGAAACGGCAGAAGTGAGTCCGGACGGATGGACAGACGGACAAAACGCAAACAATAGCACATTATTTTAATTCTAAAAAAATGCGCTAAAAATGTAGAAATTCGTGATACAATAAACCTACAATAACTTGTTCATTGTTTCGTTTTTAAGATTTACTTTTGCACGATACGATCTCCTTATGTACTGCAACAGGCACCGTGCATCCTAGCAGCACGTGGCATGCTAGATTTCATAAATTTTCTAAATGTTGTATCACGAATTTCTCTATTTTTTGTATATCAACATATCAACATGCATATTTCATGTTGTATAGAAAATTGATTGCTCTTTTCAAATATCTTAAAACACATAGGCATTGCATTTATAAAACAACAGTTGCCCCCGATTCCGGTTAAACCGGAAGTGACCCCGGAAGTGTCAATATTGGTTCGGATAGATCGTAACGAGGATCGTAATGTTACATATAAAATTGTGTTTGACAAATTTTTCGTATTTGCAAGTAAAATATAGATATTGAGGTGATCCTCTTATCTAGAACGCACTGTATAAATTCTGTCATCGAACGTTGAACTCTGACTTATCTATTGGACATGAAGGTGACCAATCAAGAACATCATCGCATCGACCAAGTAAATACTTCTGACGTCACATAAAAAACGCAGGTAAGCGCAACTTTATTTATAGAGCGTGTGAACGCAACCTTAAAATTAACTACATTGGCGATGGCTAGATGTCACTATCTAACAATAACAAATTATTGCGCATAACATTCCCACTTCACGTGTTATTGTCACTTAACCATTTTTGTATAAAGGTCTGCGATCCTGATTGCCAGACCAGTTCCCGAAATCATAAAACGATAGACGCATCCGCTTTCCGTTCATTCATTCCATACCGCTTTCATCATGTGTCGTCAAACAACCGATTCCTGATTAAATACCGCCGCGGTTCATTTCACTTCATCGAGTTCATAACAGGCGAATAGAATCGAAGATCGTAAACTTAAGGCGACCCGCGTGGATTAAGCTTGCGACTCCTTGGATTTCTTTTGGACTTCTGGGTGGCATATATTGTGGACTGCGGTAGTGGCTCAGTCACATCTCCAGTGTACCATTCAGATTCTGAATAATATCATACCACACTCACGGACTGTGAATCGGAAGTAGCGGTTTCGTACATATAAAACCAAAACCCGGCGTTACCAGTAATTTGATAAAATATTGATCTGGTCTTAATTCCCCGCAAATCATTTTAATCGTTAAAATTATAGACCGAGGGATAACTACAGATTTTTAGCGATGATTAGTAAACATCTTTCACCGCAATTTTCTTTTTACATAGGTTAGAACTAGCGTGTAAACGTATATCATACGTCTGTTAAGCGGTTAGTTCCAGCTATTCGAATATAGACATCACACAGAGGTTCTAGTCTAAACATTAAGGACTCTTATGGATACTCCTTGGTACGTGACGAACCAACCGCTTTACATGGACACCAAGATCTCATATGTACGAAATGTAGTCAAGAACAGAGCGGACAAACACCATTATAGGCTTATAGGCAATTCCAATAATCGAAGATTGAAAAGAAAATGGGTATCTACAGAATAATGGGAATCCTCCATAGTCAAATTAGCTTCTTTGGTCGTTAGGTGAAGAAAGAGACGAGGCAGTGACAATGGACATCGACCTCTTCAAGGCAATACATATATAATCAAATTAGCTTACAAAATTGATGTTGTAATTCTGACTGCTAATGTACTTGGTTCCATAAAAAAATTGATGGTCACTTGTGTTGACGGGCGTAATGAAAGGCGTCGATCTAAGCTATATGTTTGTTAGGTTGGTATTAGCAAAATTTCACTTGAAAGTGAAATAGAATGTAAAGCACATTTTCACTTCATATTTCATGAAATAACTTTCTACATGTAAAACGGGTTTTAACC